TTTTTATATGCAAATTAAAAATGCAAGTGCTGACGTATAGTGCATTTTGCCACAGAAATATTTAGGGTTATGTGACAGAGCTGTGTGACCATCTTCCAATCATAATGGCATTGTTGCATGTGATTGCACTATCTTGGCTTCAAACACAATCATCTACAGACCCTAATCAAGGTTGCATCCATTAGTAGTCAATTTTGAACAGTGGATTTAGCCTTCCCATTGCATGGGTTTTTCTAGAAAAAATTACAAGAGGGAGCACACGCAGGCGAGGGAGTCGAGCGACGCCAAATTGGAAGGTTTCTGCGCCGTTTTAATGGTTTACTGTAGTATCTATTGCCATTGAAATATTTTTGGTGTAATTTTAGTGTATTTGGTGTCCAGACACATTGTCAGCTGGTGTTGCTGGGAAGTTTTCATGGAGAAAAATATATTTGAGATAGATTTCATGTTGTACGGCAACACGGAAGTGCACGGCTCAAGAAATATATTTATGACTTGAAAGTTCAATCGGCAATTCGGTAAGAGGGCGCTAGCCGAGAGTATCAGGGCACTGCACCCCTGTTCCCCGATTTAGAAAAAAACCTGCCATTGAGACGAGACACTCATTCATGAGGTTGGGGGTCCACCCATTTTGGTTTTTAACCGGTGCTCCCTCTATGCTGATACGAGGTGCCATTGATGCAAAAAATATTGCTGTGATGCAGCTAGTTATTGGCACTGACATTGAAAATTATATTTGGACACTATTTCATATGAATCACAGATGTCTGTCTACAAATGTCACCTACTACTTATTTCTTTACTTCAAGGTTACTATGGCGATGGTTTGAATGCTATTATAGTGTTTGCTGCTTGTTATTTACCGGACAGAGGTAGAAAGGACTATAATTATGTCATGGATAATTTATTTTTGTAAGTATTGGAATCATTTCATTGAAAAAAATAATTAACCATAAACTTCATAAACGATCTTATCAAAATTATCATTTTTTTTTTAGTTTGTTAACCTTTTCACCACCAGACTTTCTCGCTCAATTTTGTCTGCACCTATTTCTTATAATTCCTCAATATTTCTGGTAATGAACCCTAATTTCGGAGCCAACAGACAAAATTTTAGTGACTACAAAATTTTTTGATTTTCATGGATGAGAATTTTCCGCGGATTTCTGAAACATCTAAATCCGAGGAGAAAATTAGGGGGGGGTAAGAATACAAATCTTGTTTATTCACTGGAAGTAAACATGCTGTCGGGATCATTGTTGTTGGCTGCAAGAAGTCTGTATCAGTGTATGGTCGAAATGAGACAACTCGCAATGTATCCAATGCGACATGTTCGCGTCTCTTTTCAGTGCAATCGTATAATCCGAAGTGGTTTCCAAGTATTCGAAGTAATATGTAACGATTAACATGATTGGCTGGGTTTACTCTGAGTGAGCTGCCCTGTCGCCCAGCGGAACCAATGGCTTGGACGTAGACTCGGAAGTCGTTAACGATGTCAGCCTGGACCCTGGCTACTTTACATTCAGCTGAAAATTAAAATTCTCATTCTCATCCCTGCCTTTTCATTACCAGACTTTCTCGCCCAAATTTGTGTGCACTCTATTCCTATACATATTCAATATTTATATAAATGAATCTTTATTTTGGAGGCAACAGTCAAAATTTATGTCAATTTTCAGTTCTCACTCAAAATATTTGGCTATTTTTGTCCCAATAATCTTCTGAAAGAAAGTGCAGACTATAAACAGAACTATTTTGTGAATTTGTGATGAATGAGGGAACTGGTGGTGAAAAGGTTAACAAACTTAAATGGCTCCTGAGATCGTGTTGAGAGTGAGAGTCATGTGACTTGTTTCTCCCCCTCCAAATAGAATTCTCATTGGTTACATGATCTTCATCAAAATTAGGCAGATTATGAAAGACGATATAAAAATGACTTTAGCGTTCAAAGATTAGTAGCATTATAGTCACTTTTGTCAAGTACAGTGACTGATGTCAGCCTTGCTTTATTTGCCATGGAAAATCAGAAAGTTTGTCATAAGTATTAATATGCTAATATATGCAAAATTATTCCAATATATGTAAATTATATGCATTTTGTTGCGCTTTGATTGGTGGATAATGCTTTGTTTAAATTGGTAGGTATGTTATCAGTACGCTGGATCTCTTGGTGGCGCAGGACTACATGATTGT